AGGCACCTGAGGGGCCTGAGACTCAGTTGTGGCATTGGCCATTTAGCTAGGTGGACAGCAGCTGGATGGGATTAGGGAACAGTGTTCCCAAGTACAGCATCTTGAGGACCACTAGCCTGTCCCTAGCCACTGGGTTGGGGGTGAGTTCCTGAACTCCAAAAACCTGGCTTGGGGTTCAGTGTATCTATTGCATGCCTGTAATTTAATTTATAAAACTTGAGCATGTATAGCACGGAATGGTGTATGCTACTTAGGTTGAGTCAGTGTACAGATGCTAAGAAATCAAGTCTTTTTTTCTATTTATTTTTATTAAGATTTATCTTATTTTTTACTGGAAAGGCAGATCCACAGTGGAAAGAAAAAGATCTTCCATCCATTGGTTCATTCCCTAAATGGTTCAAACAGCTGGAGCTCAGCCAATTGGAAGCCAGGAGCTTCTGGGTCTTCGTGTGGGTACAGGCTCCCAAGTATTTGAACCAACCTCTATTTGAACCGACCTCTATTGCTTTCCCAGGCCACAAACAGGGAGCTGAATGGGAAGGGAATGAGTTGAGACATGAACTCGTGCCCATATGGGATGCTGGTGCTTGAAAGGTGATTATTTAGCCATTGAGCCATCATGCCAGGCCCAATTTCTAAGTTCTCGAGATGCATTGTTAGATCATTGATCAAATACATTTCTAAATTTTTTGGGTAGGTACTGATTGCCTAAATCAAATCTTGTCAGGGGGATGTTCAGCCGACCTGTATTCAAGGGTGTCTGGCTGAGGTCAGGGGTCAGCCAGCCTTAGAGCCAAAGGGGGCTGCTACAAGCCTTCCTGTTATTCTAGTTTTTTTGATAGATAATGGTTGCTTTTACGAATAGCATCTTCATGATAGAGGTTGGTTTTAACTTGGGGAAATAAGAAATCTGCTGGTGATGATAATGAAGGTTTGACATGTGTGCACGTGGCTGTAGTCAAAGATAGTTATGGGACATGTGGCTGGAAGCAGGCAGCCCCAAGTTCCTTGCTAACCTTGTGTGAGAACTTTTGCCCTGGGCCAGTGGGAACTCTGGATTCCGGGGGGCCAACGAAGGACCGAATTCTGCCTCTGCCTCTGCAGGCTTGGCCCCTCTGCTCCAACAGGGCTTCCCAACCCTTCCTTGAGCCTTGGGTCCCTTTGGTATCCGGGAAAACCTTCAGCCCCCCTTTCTGAGAATGGTTTAAGATGCAAAATGTATAGTAAATAGGATTTTAGAGGAAACTAGTATTACTGTACACTGGTTCGGTTTTTGGATTGATGTCTTCACAGTCCATTGATCTGTGTCCTCAGTGGGCGGTTGCCGGGTGCACCTTGCAGAATTGGGTGGGAAGTGAATGGCTTAACGAGCAAGGGTGTGCACAGAACATGATCTGGCATGTCATAAGCCTTCACTGTCTAGTAGCCTTTGCTGCCGCTGTGACTATGCTGTGACCATCCTTGTCTTTGTTAGTACTAGTGCGTGAGATGGATTCCTGTGTTTAAAAAAGTTCTCAGTCTAGAGTGCGGGCCAAGACACACATCAATGATAGTAACCAAAGGTGGACTCATCAAACCTCAGCTTACTTCTCTATAAAATGGCAATGATAGCAGAATCTACATGGTAGGAAAGTTGTGAGCCCTTCAACCCACCCACCCTAGTTCCCATCCTTGATCACAGTTCTATTGCCCATTATTGCTCTTTTTTTAAATATTTGTTTATTTTTATTGGAAAGCCAGAACAGATTTATGGGAAGAAGGAGAGAGAAAGATAGATCTTCTATCCTCCACTAGTTCACTCCCCAAATGGCCACAATGGCTAAGGCTGGGCAGATCTGAAGCCAGGAACCAGGAGCCTCTTCTGGGTCTCCCACGCAGTTTCGGGGTCCCAAGACTTTGGGCTGCCCTTCACTTCTTTCCCCCATGCTGGGAACTGCACAGTATGGTACACTGGAGAGATTTGGCCTCCCCTTCACTGAAGAGGAGAGGAGAATGCGGTCCAGGGAATCAGGTAATGTGGTGTCTACTGCCCTGCTCCAACAGGTGGGCAGGTGATGTAGCTATTGGGGCAGGGAGATCAGGCTGCAATTACAGACCACCTCAGATCACCAGGATTTATTAATATTTTTTTCCTATTTTAAAAAGATTTGTTTATTTGAAAGTCAGTTATTAAAGAGAGAGGGAGAGACAGAGAGAGAGAATCTGTAATCCCCCTGGAGCCTCAGGCACACAGCAGGCACCTATAATTGTTTATTTGCTGGAGTTGGAGCTACTAAAACTCTCGTAATTGGCTGACAAGAATCCACTGGCTAACTCCCTAGATGGCAGCTGGCAGTAAGGTCCGGGGCTGGGTTTGGCCAGAGCCTGGAGCCAGGATCCCCAGCCAGGTCTCCCATGGGAATGGCAGGGCCCAAACTCTTGGACCATCTTCTGCTGCTTTTCCCAAGCCAACAACAGGAAGCTGGGTCAGAAATGGAGCAGCTGGCTTTGAACCAGCGCCCAGATGGGATGTCACTATCGATGTAGCAGGTAGCGCCTAGGGTTTATTTTTTAACTTGTGTCAACGTGTGTATCTTGGATCAGCTGGGAGTTGTTACGCCTCATTCAAGAGCTGGGTTGAGTGGACATTCACCTTCTTGAATATATTCAGTGGCCCAGAGAAAGACCTTGTATGGTAATGAAATGCTCAAATCTTCTTCCATCTCATTGATCAGCCTAAACACATGGTGCTTCCTAATCAACCATGGGAGGCCAGGAAATGAATTCCTATCATGAAGGTGTTAAGCGGGAGATATCTGGTAAAATGTCAGTAACCATCCTGGGTTGGAGATTCCCTTAAAACTTTTTTTCTTTTATTTGAAAGGCAGAGTGACAGATCTTCCATCTTCTGCTTCACTTCCCCGATGTCGGTAATGGCTCAGGATTGTGCCTGGCCAGGAGATAGGAACTCCATGGGGTTTGCCTTCTGGATGGCAGGGACTTCCATACTTGCACCATTTTCTGCTATTTTCCCAGGCACGTTATCAGGGAGCTGGATCCTGGGTGGAACAGCGGGGAGCTCAAACTGATTCTTTCATATGCAGATGGTGGCTTCATCACTTTGCTGCAGTGCCGGCCTGCGTGTTTCCTTTTATTTATGTATTTTTTTTTCCTGTTAGCTTGCTGTCAGCTCAGACAGAAACTTGTGGGCTTTCCATGGTTGTGTGCTGGGAAACCACACCCAAGGGGGAGAAAAACCCTAAACCACTTCTCATCCCCCAGTGGCGAGTGGAGGTTTGGAAAGGTGCACAGAACTGCCGACGTGTGCAGAGGGAAAAACAGCAGAAAGAGAGAACTTCCATCCGCTGTTTCACCCCCTAAGTGGCTGCAACAGCTGGGCCAGGCTGGGACCATGGAGTTCAATACTCTATCAGAATCTCCCACATGCGTGCCAGGTGTCCAGCCACACAGGCAGTCTTCCACTGTGTTCCCAAGCATATTAGCAGAAAGCTGGATGGGAGATGGAGTAGCTGGGATTTAAAGCTGCACCTGTATAGGATGCCGGTATTAAAGGTGGTGGCTTAGCCTGCTCTGCCACAGTGCCAGGCCTGGGATGTTCTTTTTCTTAACTCTGTGCCTCACTTTATGGCACATCTCCTTCAGGGTGATGTTTACCTTTCCCCGGTGTTGTTACTCCACCCCAAATGAGCAGCCCCACCCAATACACCCGAGAAAATTATTCTAGAGCAAGGCAGAAGGCCAGGGCAGCAATGTAGTCATCTCTGGCAGAGCTTTCCGGAGTTTTCTCCAGCCCAGAGGTAGAAATTCACAAAGAAGACAGCAGCCCTCAGTCCCTTTCCTAAGGTCACTGGTTTCCAGTGCTGGGGGTTTGCAGCCTGCTGCTTCTGAGAGATGTTGGGCCTCCGGGCCCGGTTGCCAGCTCCTGCATGGCTGGGCGGCTCTGGGTGCATCAGTCTCCATCTTTGGTGCCTGAGTCCTCATCTTTACATTGTGTGGCTCTGAAGACAGGGTCCCATCTGAAAAGAGAGTGCCCCGGGGTGGGGAGAGGTGTTCCCCTAGCCACACAGAAAGGCAGCAGGTGAGGCTGCCTCCAGAGTCCCGCGGAAGGCCATGGAGTTCAGAGTGAAGGGAGGCCTGAAGGTGGCAGTAAGCAAAGGTGGGGTCTTTGGTGGTCAACTCACCTTACCTCACCTCACCCCTGGGCACTCACTTTGGCTGAGTGATACATTTGGTAGAGTGATGGCTTGACTTTCCACTAGTCAGTAAGCTCCAGGAAGGGAAAGTCTTATTGTAGTACTGGTAGATGGTGACATTGGCAATGGCTAATATTTATCTAATAATACACAGACAAGGAAACACTTGCCTCCTCATGGCCTTATTTTGAATCAGTAGGCTATCAGACTTCTTATGGGGAGAGAGGAAGTCATTGGCTCCGCCTAACCCAACCTCATGTCCTGGAGAGTCACCTTGGGCAAGCCACTGAACTCCTTACTGTTGGAGACTCTAGCAGGAGGGAAGATCTGAAAATGTTCTGGAAACTGCAACCCCCAGTGTTTGGTTTTAGGATATGGAACGAGGTGAACTCTGGGGACACAGAGCAGCTAGTGGTGGAGCTGTAAGGTGGAAGGTCTCGAATGGTCATTATTAGGACTTGAGGAACTGTCCTTTATGGAGTGGTTGCTTTAGGCCCTAAGCTCAGCAATTTACATCTACCAGTGTTTGGGTAAGACGGAGGCATTGTCATTTCTTGGTGTTTTTGTTTGTTTGTTTGTTTTTTGAATATTTATTTTATTTTTATCACAAAGTCAGATATACAGAGAGGAAGAGAGACAGAGAGGAAGATCTTCCATCCAATGATTCACTGCCCAAGTGAGTGCAATGGCCGGTGCTGTGCCAGTCTGAAGCCAGGAGCCAGGGACTTCTTCCAGGTTTCCCATGCTGGTGCAGGGTCCCACTGGGACCCTGGAGCAGGGCCACTGGGATTAGAACCGGCGCCCATATGGGATCCCCGGCACATTCAAGGCGAGGACTTTAGCCACTAGGCCATCATGCTGGACCCTGTCATTTCTTGTTTTGCAGGTGGCAGAAATCAAGTCATGCAATGGACTTGTTAAAGGTCATGCTTGCAACATCCACTCAAATGCAGACTCTACTTTTTGACCCCAGGTGAAGATGGGGACAATGCATGTCTCCTGGGCAGCAGCAATAATAATTCTAAGTGCCTTCTGGCTATCAGGAACTTTATAGCTGTTAGGGTTGAGCCTTTCAATAATTCAAAGGGTAAGGTGTTATTATCTCTATTTTATAGGTGAAGATGAGGCATTTATTTTAGGATGACACAGCAAAAATAAATTAAGGGAGCTGAGATTGGAATTGGGGCTTGTCTCTTTCCAAGAACATGTTGATGGTGGGTGGAGGAACCCAGTCAATGGTGGGTTCAATTAAGAGTTGTTTTTTTTGTTTTGTTTTGTTTTGTTTTTCTTTTACCATCCTGCTAAGGCTTCCTGGAACACCATCATTAGAAATTAATACTTGGAAGGCTTTTTATGCTCATGTAAGTTAATTACAAGAGTCCTTAGGAAAATCTAATGGGAGTTGTGTATGGGGTGTGGATATCCAAGACGAACAACCTCAGGGATTTCCAGTAAATTCTTGGATTTTTAAATTCCTCTCCCCTCTCTCTGCTCCCATGCAGCAACATCCCTTATCTCCATTTGTGAGCAATGAATCAGTCAGGGAGAAGCCAAGATGAGCAAAAAACTCCCTGAGGGCAGTCAACAGAGTGGAGCTTGCTGGGCAGGCAGGAGGGACTGAGCACTACTGCAAGAGCCTGGAGTGCAGGGGGAAGTGCAAGGACTGGTAAGGGAAAGAGTGCAGAAGCTGGGCTTCCACTTGCCTCTCAGTCACCACGGGGGCCCTGATGCCATTGAAGCGTGTCCCAAGGGACCAACAGACAGTAGCATCGAGCCCTGCACCCTGGATGGGCCCAAGGCTGGCAGGATCTCGGGGAAGACATCATTGAGTTGATTGATTATTTTGTCTTAGGGTGGACCCCAAGATTTGTTCAAACCACTGCCCTCGTGAGAATGCAAGGGGGGGCACAGTAATTAACCTATTACAGCTCTGCAGCGGGAGTAAACCAGAGAAAGCAGTTTGTGGGGTGCCCTGGATGTGTATAGGCTTTTCCTCTAAGCCTCAGTTCCCACACCTGTAAGATGGAGTTGTGCAGATACATTTACCAGGGAGAGCTGGCCGCTGAAGAAGGAAGGGCCAAAAAACAGAAGTAGGAAGATGGTTGCAGAAAGCCAACGAGACAGACAGGAGATGAGTCCTGAGGTGGAGAGGGACAGGAACTTCCCCCTGCAGTCACTGCTGGGGTACCTGTGTGCACAGGCAGTCTACAGCCATGTGTGTTGTTGCGGGGTGTGAGAGAGATCACGCCAGACTAGTTTAGGATAGATTAAGGAGTCTTTATTAAGCAAGCTTTGTGATGGCAGGGTTGAATAGAAATTAGCAAATGACAAGTCTACGTGACAATCCAGTTGGAAAAGAAACTCTGAGAACAAATGGTCATTACAGCAAAGTTCATCGGATAGACTGAATACCTATTTTCCAGTTTCTCCAGCGATATAAATTACCCTAGGAGATAGGCAGTGAACAACCTGGACATACTGATAAAGCTGCAAAGATTAACCTTTTTCTGGCTCCTGTGCCCACATTCCATTACTGTTAGGCCTCACCTCTCCCAGAACTCTTGAAAGTACACCTATTAGAAAGCATCTTAGCATCTTCACTGGCTTGCCCAAGCAGTGTACCCAGGGTGAGGAGTACAGACCTACGACGGCCATGTTCAAGGGTCGCCTGTCTTCGGAGTCTGTCTGCAGGAAGCCAGAGAACAAGCAGGTACTGGGGAGGCCAAGAGTTGGAGTGTAAGAGCGATGGAAGCATGCGACCAGTCGAGAGAACCCTTCTTTTTTTTTTTTTTTTTTTAAAGATTTATTTTTATTATTTTTTCATTGGAAAGGTGGATATACAGAGAGAGGAGAGACAGAGAGGAAGATCTCCCGTCCGATGATTCACTCCCCAAGTGAGCGCAACAGGCCGATACTATGCCAGGAGCCTCTTCCGGGTCTCCCACGCGGGTGCAGGTTCCCAAAGCTTTGGGCCGTCCTCGACTGCTTTCCCAGGCCACAGGCAGGGAGCTGGAAGGGAAGTGGGGCTGCCGGGATTAGAACCGGCGCCCATATGGGATCCCGGGCGTGCAAGGTGAGGACCTTTAACCACTTGCGCCATCGCGCCGGGCCCGAGAGAGAACCCTTCCTATCCTGGGCCTTTTGGGGGGGCTTGTGAGGGGGAATGGTTACATAACAATGCAATACCACCCCCTCTCAGGTTCCAGGTGATGATAGGTGTGTGTCACAGGTGTGCAGAAAGGACCACATAGATGGGGAAGGCATGGTTTCCGAGCTCGTGACCCTGAAGTAGCTGCCTGGGACCACAACTGTGTGTGTGTGACTAGACAGAGAAGTGCAGAAAGTGGGGCTATTTCATTTCTGTTCCTGCCCCCCACTCCCAGGCATGGTCCAGGGCCCTGAGCAAACACTCCTCAAATGGTCTCGGATTGGACTCAGTGCCTTTCCTGAAACATTTTGCTTAAAGAGTAGCCAGTTTGAGGTCTGTGATGCTTAAAGAGTAGCCAGTTTGAGGTCTGTGACCGGTGGAGCTGACTGGCTTTGTTATCCCATCCGGGTCCTTGGTTTTCCTGTCTAGGAAATGGGGAGAATGCCGCTGAGGGTAGTGAGGATCTGGGCTCCCTGGGGAGGTGGTGTGTTCCAGGCAGAGGCTTAGATAACGTTAAGCGGAGTGACCACCCTTGGGTGGCAGGCTGGGCTGGAAGACATCGAGAAGGGTGATGGATGACTACCATCGTGGAGACCAGAGGAACTTGAATCCCTCATGCAGGTGACAGTGACTTGTTTCTTGTTCCACAACATCCAGAAGAGCCTGCCAGCAGCCAGCCAGGGGAACAGCCCGTGAGCCCCATAGCTCGGGCTGGGAGTTGGCCCCTTGAGGGATGGTAGCTAGCTGCGGGAGGGAGGGAGAACAGGAAGCAGGCGGAGGCTGCTTGCAAAATGTCACTTCTCATGTGAAACACCCTCTTGCTGCTTCCGGGCTCACCCAGCTTGGCTGGGGGAGGAAGGTGGCTTCTTTGGAACTTGACTCCCAGCAGTCTTGTAGCAGCAGGCAGATACAGCCTAAGGGTAGGCACCCCAGCTGGTGCTTGCCTCCCTGCCCAGAATGGCCCTCTTCCGCCCAAAGGCTCCAGGTCTGCTCTCCCTGCTCTGCTCTAGGGTTGCATCATGCCGTGCATGGCTGTGAATGTACCAACTGTTCCCATGCCGTGGTTCAGCTCAAGTGCGGCTGGACTTTGGAGGTGCTGTGAACCCTCCAGCCTGGAATGTAAATGCATCCAACAGGGAGGAGTGCAGAATTTACCAGACAGACATTGAGAGCTCCTGGAGTTGGAGGCGGAGCTGGTTCCCAGATGGCCTGAGGCCTTCCCTGGGCAGCACAGGATCTATGCCATCCCTCTGTCCACCTGATACCTAGTCCTCATACACCCTCATACCCAGCTATTGGCGGCGACCCTGCCACTCTGCCTAGTGGGTGGCTTTATTCTCTCTAATAGGGTCAGGAGGAACCCTGGGAGTCCTGAGTGCGGGCTAGCTCAGAGTCCAGCCTGGCCTTCCCATTCCCTAGGCCCGTGCTTCTGTCTTGGCAGCTTCTGTCTTTAATGGGGTGCCTAGGTCTTTTCACACAGTTGCCAAATACAACAAAAGGATCTGCTTCAAAGGCTGATATCTGGGAGAGGCAGAAAGACACAGAAAGGATAAGTAATGATGAAAGGGTAATTTTAAATAAAGAAAGCTCTCACTGAGAAGGTGAAGTTTAAGCAAAGTGTAAAGAGGATTAATTTCATGTAACACATGAAACAAAGTTATGACCCATCACTTCCTTCATTTCTTTCCTGTTTCTGTGGCTTGCTCATCTTCCAGCTTGTTCCACTGGGTCAGCTTTCTTGAACTTGAACGTTGGCTGGCAGCTCTCCGTTCTCACACCCGCTCTTGCCCTGCAGCCCCGCGGCCTGTTTGGAGAAAGCTGAGGCGTGCCCTTGGCCTGCTGTCAGCTCAGGATTCTCCAGGACCTTCGGGAAGAAAGGACATCCTGTTGTCTGGGAATTTTACTTCTTCTCACTGTAAATCTCATAAATGGGCTCATTGGGTTTGTTTTCTGAATGGTGACACCCTACAACTCAGCCTGCAGAAAGTAGTATAAGCTTGCAGATGCAAAGATGTTGATGCTGTCGTGGTCTTCTCCCAGAAATCATGTTGGAATTATTCTTAATTTCTGATAATGCCAGTCTCATTAATGAAATATTTTATCTGAAATATTATTTTTTCCAAAACATGCATGGGACAGGTGCTTTCGTGCAGCAGGTTTAACCTGAATCCTTATCAGAGCGTCTGGCTCCAAGTCCTGGCTACTGCATGCTGGGGAGTTCCTCCCTGCCCACGCACAGTGCCCGCATGCGACACCTGCTATGGACCACACCTTCTCAACTTTCTGTTCCCTTTCTTGTCTTCTGAATTCACTGCCAAGCCAGCCGTCCTTGTCTCCTTCCCCTGTCTGCCTTCTGGACGTCTTTGGATGCCCCTCTGTTGATGTTTGGAGCACCCCCACGTGCCCTGGCAGGGACTTCTTCCACAACTGTCCTCTGCACAGGGCTCTTTGCTCTCCCTGGCTCAGCCCCATCCGCAGGTTGGCACTGCCTGCATGGCTCACTGGGAGCATTTCCTTTTCCAGGGCATGTCCGGCTCACACTATCTCCACCCCATAAGTTTCTTGAAAGGCCTTTGACTAAAGCTTACCTGACACTGGTTTCCTGAACGACTGCAAACTACTGTCTGCCCTTGTGTTTCCCTTGAGTTCCATGATGATGCACACTCTGCCCTGGTCCAGGTGAACTCACCCACTCTCATCTCTTGGTGCCCTGGAGCTAAGAGTACCCAGACCAGCAGCATCCCTCCTGGCCATCCCAGCAGCTGCTGAAGCTCAGCAGGCAGTCAGCACAGAGCCCCTCCTGGGGATGGTGCTTTCCGTGTTCG